GACATGAGTAAAGCATTTGATAGCATTGATCATTAAATACTTATAACCAAGCTTCATGATATGCAATTGTCACCTCCTGCTATCAAGTGATGTCACAGCTATCTCCAGTCACATTACCAAGTTGTTAAAATTTATAGTGCTATCTGAGACCAACTCTTCATGACTTCTGGAGTGCGTTTTGGGTCCAATCCTTTTCAGTATCTACATCAATGATCTTCCGAGTATTCCACAACACAGCTCCCCCCAGTGCTATGTAGAGGATAATTGATATTAAATTTCAAGCTACAGGATCAGGTGAATGCCATTGTTAAATTAAATGGAGACTTAAGTAGGATTAGCAATTGGACCATAAGAAATCAACTCCTTAAAAACCCCAATAGAACTAAGTTCATTATCTTTGGCAGCAGAGCAATGGTCAATAAAGCACAGAATTTCCTTGTAAACTTACTGGGAAAGGAAATTAAACCAGTTGCCTCTGCTAAGGACCTGGGAGTTGTCCTGGATCCCATCCTGACATATAACAATTACGTTGGTTCAACAGTGTCCAGCTGCATGGCACGGCTAGGACAGATCAACTGAGTTAAATATGCTTTGGACAGGAACACTTTAACCATCATAATTAATGCTTTAGTTTTCAACAAGCTATATTTCATGTTTGGAGCAAAAACTCTTAACACAACCTGAAAAGGATCCAAGCTGTGCAAAATTTTGTGTCCCATATCATAAGCAACATAAGGAAATATGATCATATCTCCCCTATACTTACAGATTTGCAGTGGGTACCTGATAAGACAGCAGTTCTTCTAATGTCATGCAATAATGGCTTTTAAATGTATGACTGGGTATGCACCAGATTCATTATTTTCTAAATGTATTCAAAGGGCTAGCATCACTAAGCATACCACAAGGAACTCCCAGATGTTACATATTCCTTTGTATAAAACCACCACAGAACAAAGAACCTTCTATTTCAGAACAGTTAAACTTTGGAATTCACTGGACCCTGTCCTTAAGCTGAAACTGACCTTAAAGGAATTCAAGAGTTGCTTGAAGAAAAACTTGTTAAATTTTTTGGAGACATAGTAAGACTTTCTTTTTTTTTGTTGTTGCTCAATTTTTACCACATTATCAGTGTCCATAGTTTTTACCACTTTTAGTTATTAACATCTATTACTCATAGGCTATGTTTGTATTATACATCATGTATTAATTTTAGCTTTATTCTGAAATTCCCTTTTGGGACAAATAAAGTATGTATGTTTGTATGTAACAAAGGGAATGCTTCTTGGCTAGACAAAACTATTGACATTGCGCGTTTTAGCGAGATAACCAGCAAGCAAATGGAGATGATGAGATTTAACATTGCTCACCAGGTGAAAGATGTAGATCTAATAGCTAAAGGGAAAAGTAGAGGTTCCAAGAAGCCACCAAAAAAGAAAAATAAACAAAGAAAGATTCATTTCCCTATTGGAAAAAAGACAACTGGTGATGAGAAGTGCAGGATTGTAGTACCCAACACAAATGGAAAGAATGCCCAGCCTACAATCAGTATTGTGCATACTGTCATGTAGTGAGGGCAGGAAGTGGAACGGTTCATCTTGACAAACATTTCCTTGCGCCTGAAGCAAACCCATCAACAAAAGGTTTGGAAGCCATCCCTGAAGTTGCCAAAGAAGCACCTGTTCTTGTTACTCGCAACAAAAAAAAGTAAGTCAGTAAGTAAGTAACTTTATTTAATCAGGGTAGCCCGTTCTTTTTTGTTTGTTTTTAACCTTTGTTTTATTTTTAACCTTTGTTTGTTTTTAACCTTGTTTTTGTTTGTTTGTTTTTAACCTCGACTCATTAGCTATTTAAGCTAGGAGCCTAATAAGCTCCAGACCCTCGAGTATAAATAAAGTTTTCAGTTTTTTTCAGTTTCAGTTCAGCAATGAGGCTGGTATCCATAGGGGCTCTGAGAGATAAAAAGTATACTATTTAAAAATTCCTAAGGTATNAAGCAAACCCATCAACAAAAGGTTTGGAAGCCATCCCTGAAGTTGCCAAAGAAGCACCTGTTCTTGTTACTCGCAACAAAAAAAAGTAAGTCAGTAAGTAAGTAACTTTATTTAATCAGGGTAGCCCGTTCTTTTTTGTTTGTTTTTAACCTTTGTTTTATTTTTAACCTTTGTTTGTTTTTAACCTTGTTTTTGTTTGTTTGTTTTTAACCTCGACTCATTAGCTATTTAAGCTAGGAGCCTAATAAGCTCCAGACCCTCGAGTATAAATAAAGTTTTCAGTTTTTTTCAGTTTCAGTTCAGCAATGAGGCTGGTATCCATAGGGGCTCTGAGAGATAAAAAGTATACTATTTAAAAATTCCTAAGGTATATACATGATTAAAATAAACAATAATACTGTAAAAAATCTAGCTAGGTCAATATAAAAAGTGTGTGCTAAGAGATAAGAAATTAAAATTATAAGGTGAAATGCTCAGTCAGCATCTTTTTAAGACTATTTACAGGCGTGGCACATTTAACATAATTGGGTAAAGAATTGAAATACATAGCCCCTGCATACTTAAAAGTTCTTTTGCCCATGTTACGCTTAGGCTTTGGTGGGTGCAAGTCGTTGCTTCTCCTAGTTGCATGATTGTGCAAATCCACATTCCTTGTAAAATGTTGGGTAAGATATTTGGGTACTCGATTATTTAAACACTTAAAAACTAGGATGCATTTATGCATTTTTCTTCTGGAGGCTAGATTTAACTAGTTTAGCAGACAGAAAGTGTTATTTGAGGTGTTCTTCCATAATATAATTCGAGCTGCAAGGTTCTGTAGGCAGTGTAACTCTTTGCAACACCCCTCTGAGATTTCTCCCCACGTATCACCAGCATAGTCAAATAATAGCTGCAAGAGTGAATTGTATACCTGTTTAGAGGCTTCTAGCATGAGGCATCATCATACACAAGACAAAAGTCCTCACCTCCTACTGACTTTGCTGCCTACATACAAACAAACCCCTAAATGTAATGGATCCATCTCAGTTATTCTCCTAGCACCTTAACATCTCTCCTGATCCTGTGCCTACATTGCCTGTGAAGTGTACCTGTACCGGAACAGTCAAGCCACCTCAGAGATTTAAGGACTTTGTTTCATGAACTGTTGAAGAGTTAAAGGACTTAGCGTTCATTTTCTTCATTTCAACCTCATCACCACTTTATCACCTATAACATGACCTTACTTTGCACTTCAAAAACACCATTTAATCAGTTGAAGACAGACAGTGACGAGGCAAACTGGCAGGCAAAAGTGTTAACAGTCAAAGAAAGGACAAAGAGAGAACAGTTTGGGGTAATGGCGAGTGGTCATGGCCACAAGAGCTGATATAGCTTTTCTTCAATTTAGACTCATTTATGAGTTCTTACATTTCGTCCTTGAGGTAATCGTGTTTCAAAGCTTTTACAAAGTAATTTTATTGAATTTTTAATTAATTTTTTTAAAAAGGGGGATCTTATCATAATTATTCTATATTTCACTTGTACTACATTATAGCCCAGATCTGTCATGTATTGCCATATTTGGTATTAAAAAATGAGTTGTCTGCTAATACATGAGCTTTCGTTCATACGTGTTTACTATGAACAACTATGAATAACTACATGTAATGACCCCCAAAATTTGGAACACACACTCAGTAAAATCAGCATGAATTGGTACAAGTGCATACACAAGCACGATCATAGTTGAGTGTTTTTTGCTATACTAGTAAATTAATTGCCCATAAACTAAAGAATGTTCTGTAATTGTGTCGATCCACACCTAAACTTGTCATCACCAGGTAATCATCAAGCATAATAGAAGCATAACCTGCCTTTTTGTATGTCTGATTAACCTTGAAATCTGCAGGTAAGCATGACAATCTAAGAGGGTGGTAAAGGGTATTTTCATGACTCATGATTGGCCCTTTTTTTTTTCCCATGAAATGTGAAATGGCTAATTTTTTCCTCGTGAATCATGATTTCCATAGTAGCCGTGAAGCGTGATTTTGCAAAATCATTTTCCGTGAAACGAGAAATAAATGTTTAATTCGCCGTGAACTGTGATTTTCATTTTGTCTTTGTTATTTTCAACAACCGTTATTACGTAATAAATGATATTGCGTGACCGTGACAGGATGGTTGATCCCTGTTGAGACAAGGTGGTTGGTGGTCTTCGGTGACCTTTGGCCAGCCATCATTTTCATCCTCTGTTTCGTCTATTTCAACCATCCATGTCGGATGTGCTGTGAAATTTCTGGAAAATGTTGGAAAACTGTACCAAGCTTTCTCCGTACACCAGAAGCACAAGCGAGCTCACATCTTAACACTGCAAGAAGCTGGAGAGATAATGAAATCTGTTTCTGGGTGCCTTCAAGGCACTGTTCAATCAGTGCAGACATTGCTGGGCAACAGCCATTTCAAACATCCAACATGTATGCAGTTACATTATGCCAGGGATTTTGAGACTGCAACCCTGGAATCAGCAAAAAGAATGACACAGTGGTCCATTTTTTAATTCACACACTCAACATCATATTATCCTATACCCTCGACACAAATTCACCTTAAAGATTTTCCAAGGATGACGCAACAAAACCTGCCTGTCATGAGTTCAGCTGACCAAGATCTGATGAGAAACTGGGCAAACACACACGGTAAGTGCGTTAGACAACGCATCGTCCGACAAGAAACCACCAAGTACAAGGCTGGTACTCTTCCTCTGAACATGTATCAGACTGCTGTCCACCGGGGAGAACAGCTAGAGTTTGCACCAGTAGAAAGAGTAGAACAACCTGAATTTGCAAAGGAAGAGGGAAGAGAAGGCGCACCTACAACAAGGGACCCAGGAGACAATCAGCTCTCCGAATACAATGACAACTCCTCCGACGATGACTCTGATGATTTTGCAGTGGAGGAAGATGGTGCCATTCATGATATGCAGAACGAGGAACTCGGTTTCCTTTTTGCATCGCGCAGAACACGAAGTGGACAGATAGTGAAAACAACAATTGAACACAGCTTTGCTTTGGACATAATTTTTCAAAATGACACAGTATGTAACTTTTGTTTAAAGAAATACGTTCTCCTTTTTTCCGTGAAGCGTGAAATGCCCATTTTATTTTTCGTGAATTGTGAAAGAACCATTCTATTTTCTCTGAAACGTGATCTAAACCCCCCCCCCCCTCACCACCCTCATCTAAAGTGACTGTGCCAAATTGTATTAATTGGTATTAATGATTTGAGAAAATTATAGACAGAAGGACCAAGGATAAGCAATATTATTAATAATAAGAGAGCTGACACGTGTTTTTTGGATCTAAAATAAGGGTAAACACTCCCTCCAAACTAAAAAGGCTCTCTGATAATAACTTCTATAAGCAATACAAACTTCATCTTTTAAATGCACAATAAGTAATTTTCTTTCTCTTCCCATACTACAATTAATAATCATTTCAGATTTTTAGTTACAATCATAAGACCTTATGCTCTTTGAATTTTCCTTTCTCCATTATAATTGTAGTTTTATGTAAATATCTATGCCAGTTAGTTGCAAGTGACTGTGACCAACTCAAAAGCCTCATTGGACACTGCACACATTTCACTTTTCATGATTTATGTAATTTGTCATTCTATTTTTTCTTGCCTATGTAATGTATTGTAAATTTTGTAGCAACCTGATGCGATAGTGCAAAGAAAAAAAAAAGATTTAACAACTTGCTGGTTGATTCATGTTTCACCAAAAATAGGGTAACAGAAGAACAACATTTAGTTTCAAGCTATACAACTTGCAGTAAGGTTGTGTGATGCTCTAAACAAGCTATCTTGGCGTACGCTGCACAATAAATGGAAAATGCAAATGAACATCATGATGTACAAAGTTTATCATGCAGGTGTACCTTAGTGCTTATAACCGCAGAGATAGTAAGTTTGAAAAAAAGTTGCCTAAACCAAGATTAAACTAATTAAAAAGAGCTTTTGTTTATCGTGGGGCAATGACATGGAATACAATGTATACTTAAGACACTAATTTGCTTTGGTGAGAGCATGGAATACACTTACGAATCATGTTTCGACTTATAGACACTAAATTTTTTAGACGTCTGCTCAAGGAGAAGCCACAATTTTCTACATGAAGTGTTTTTTATTACTCCTATTTTTAAATAATCATGTAACTCAATATTCTGTCTAAAATAATAATAGTTGTAACAACAGTTTTAAATCATTGTAGTGTAGTTAATATTGGTTCATAGAATTTTTCATATGGTCAGTTTTAAAACCAGTTTTATATGTTGAAATCACCACAGTGTTAACAAACAAAGTTAATGCATTCATTCATTCAATCAAGAACGACCAAGAGGATATGACAATTTAAGACTCCACCAAAAGGACAGTGAAAACCAAGGAAACACAAGTTAATATATTCAAAGAAGTAGATGATGTAATGATTTTATTTGGCCTTACAGCAACGGAAACTGAACAGTAAGAAGTCTACAAACAAAAATTAGAACCTTATTTTGTTGTCAAGAGGAAATATGTGACCTCTTACGCGAAAATGTTCCTTAAGAATGAACACGGCATGCAAACGCAGGGCAAGTGAACAGATGAGAAACGGATAGCCAAGCCATTCGAAACGGAACGGCTGAACAGATGACAAAAATTTTTGAACAGATGAACTGCTGAAAAATGATGGAAAATTGTACAAGACAAATACAATGCTATATTATATTGTTGCAAATTTCTCCCTAACAGGGCACACTCTCATTGGTTACTTCAAGGTCACATGACATCTAATAATGAACCTTCCTTCCTGAGCAGGCAACATTAAGAAGGTAACAGTGCATTGCTCCTCGAAAGTTAACTTCAGCCTGTCATTACAGCTAGGTTTAATAAATTTTCAGCTCAAAATTTCCAGCTATATAACAAATCAATTAAAGACTGGTCCATTAGGAATCAGTTAATTTTGTTTCCCAAGAATCCTGAGGTGCAAAACCAAAGGGTGCCTATTGCTAACTTGTGGATTAATTACTTTAGAAATGAAAGCTGATAATGAACCTGCAATTAGTCTACCACTATATTATAAGTCTGTCAAAAAAATGAAAATATGTTTAAAAAAGCAAAACAAAATGCGACCAAAAAAAAAAGGGAAAAAGGTCTCCTTCTACCAGGGTCAAAGCCTGGACCTCCGATGTGTGAGGTCAACACGTTATCAATTGCACCACAATAGCTAATGTTAAACAAGACTACTAAATTAATTATATTTAAAATTTTTTGCTCGTAAAATTCTTCCGGAGGATGCTGTTTGAAGGTGGTAGAGCTTTATTCATGAAGAATTGAAAGAAGCTGGGTTTTGACAGTAAAAGCCATACTTTAACTCATTTCATTGCATTTGAGGTGTCTCGCAAAACTGTTGCGAAGTCTCTTGCTGACAGTGTTGTGTAGCTTGCAATTCTCGGTGATTTAAGAGCGACAGTCAGGAAAAATCGACCAAAATCTTAATTTCGTAGCAAGAGTTGAAAAATCAATTTCTTTCATTTTTTGTTCATAGATAGCTGTTAGGTAGATGAGAAACCTAATGTAAATTGTTTCTGCCAAAAGCCTTTTATTTGTGAGAAAAATTAGAAGATCGGTTTTCGATGTCGGGATCTCAGACTGCCCTAATTTTTAACCAGAAGTTCAATAACATCGACTTTCCTTGAGTTCGAAAACGAAGCCGCATGGAGAAATTTGGACACTTTCAATGAACAGAAAAATTCTTCTTCTTCCACTAAAAGATACTTTCAGGGCAATAGCGAGGCTCATCGTACTGAAATAATTAAAAAATGAGGGATAGGTTTTCAGGATGACAAAAACTTAAGTTCGTTACTCATTTTCGACAGCAATATTTAACATGTGGTATAACTCAAAATTCTCTTCATGCTATTTAAATCTCACATTTAGACATTCATTTAAAACATACCTGGGAATTGGCTTGGGTTATTAAAGAAAATCTGNAGCTAATGTTAAACAAGACTACTAAATTAATTATATTTAAAATTTTTTGCTCGTAAAATTCTTCCGGAGGATGCTGTTTGAAGGTGGTAGAGCTTTATTCATGAAGAATTGAAAGAAGCTGGGTTTTGACAGTAAAAGCCATACTTTAACTCATTTCATTGCATTTGAGGTGTCTCGCAAAACTGTTGCGAAGTCTCTTGCTGACAGTGTTGTGTAGCTTGCAATTCTCGGTGATTTAAGAGCGACAGTCAGGAAAAATCGACCAAAATCTTAATTTCGTAGCAAGAGTTGAAAAATCAATTTCTTTCATTTTTTGTTCATAGATAGCTGTTAGGTAGATGAGAAACCTAATGTAAATTGTTTCTGCCAAAAGCCTTTTATTTGTGAGAAAAATTAGAAGATCGGTTTTCGATGTCGGGATCTCAGACTGCCCTAATTTTTAACCAGAAGTTCAATAACATCGACTTTCCTTGAGTTCGAAAACGAAGCCGCATGGAGAAATTTGGACACTTTCAATGAACAGAAAAATTCTTCTTCTTCCACTAAAAGATACTTTCAGGGCAATAGCGAGGCTCATCGTACTGAAATAATTAAAAAATGAGGGATAGGTTTTCAGGATGACAAAAACTTAAGTTCGTTACTCATTTTCGACAGCAATATTTAACATGTGGTATAACTCAAAATTCTCTTCATGCTATTTAAATCTCACATTTAGACATTCATTTAAAACATACCTGGGAATTGGCTTGGGTTATTAAAGAAAATCTGTGTAAGACACCATCAAAGTTCAGGAATTTTCATTGTGGGCCGGTGGTAATTGTGTAAACACTTCCAACTTCAAAATGCACTAAAGTAGATATTTACAGCCTAAACGCTTGTTTTTTGTACTTCTTGTGGGTTTTCCCATTACAAAGTTGCTTTTTTCATCCAAACGGTGGGGTAAAAAGGTGAAACTGGGTCAATTTTAGCCACTTTGAAACACTGAACTCTACCAGCCGGAGACTCTGCGTGACAATTTGTTCCGTGACCGCACGTGACATAACATACATTTGAAGAGACGGAGCCGTCAAAACAACAGTCACGGAATCAAGGTAGTAACGCAGCAGAATTCTTGAAAGAGTAACATTTTCAACAGTCAGTGTTGAAGAAGAAAAAATCAAACATGCTAGTATTCTGGCACTCACTTTTTATCGAAAAAAAGGACTTTAACAATGGTAATTCCCTAAGGATGAGGGAACAGGAAGATATTTCTTCTTGTTACTTTACGATCGAGGAAACTTGGTGCCCTTAAATGAGTTAGTTTGGTCACGCTTTGCTATATTTACCGGACTTCGATGCCTTCGTTTGGAGGCTGCCTTCAGGAGCCCAAGCCAGTTCTCAGGTATGTTTTAGATGAATGTCTAAATGTGTGAATAAACGACGACTGGGAAAATTTGGAGCTATACCACAGGAAAAATAATACCGCAGAAAACAACTACTAAATCAAAGTTTTTGTCACCGTAAAAACCTGTTCTTCGTTTTTGAATTATGTCAGTTCAACGAGTCTTGGTATTGCTTTGAAAGTATCTTCTAATAAAAGAAGAAGAGTTGTTATATTGATGGAAAGTGTCCAAATTTCTCCTTGCGCCTTTATTTGCAAACGCGAGGAGAGTTGATGTTAGCAAATTTGGGGTTGAAAATACGGCCATTTTGAGACTCCGACCATGAAAACTTATATTCTTACTTTTCTCGAAAATAAAAGGCTTTTTGCGAGAACAACTTACGTCAGATTACCTATCTACCTAAAAGCTATTTATGGACAAAAAATGAAGGAAATCGATTTTTCAACTCTCACCACTCGATGGTTGATATTTCCTGACCGTCGCTTTTAATACATAAGGAGAATCCGTTATGATTCAGCCACTATGAACATTTCAGAATGATATTTCACTAAAAAACATGAAATTGGGAGTCTTGTCGAGAGAAAAGTTAAAAATCGTGAGACTCACGGCAGCATGTCACAGCAGAATCATGAGC